TCATACAAATTATAGTAATTATGGAAATATTACATGTCTGTGGTTTTCAAAATGAATAAATTTGAATATATAAAAGGTATTAACAGACAAGGTAAGACCCACAATTGGATAAAGTAGTAATATTATATTGTAATAAATTAATAAATGAGCAGATAAATAAAACAAAACAAACATTACTTACATGCCGGTACTCTATTAATTGATGGATGGTAGGTCATGGTTGCAAAAATCATGTATTGTTGATTTGATATCAACATTAAAGTTCTCCAATCAACAATACATGATTTTTGCAATCACTTTGCAATCAAGTTTGGACACTTAAAAAATCCAACATTAAAAACCTAGAAGCATTCGAAATGTGTGTTACCGACGCATTTTGAAAATATCATGGATGGATCGCAAAACAAACGAACAAGTTCTCGAACAACTAGGAAAACAATGCGAAGTTTTAAATTCCATAAAGATCAGAAATTGGAATACTTGGGGCACATCATGAGAGGTGAAAAGTACGAACTACTAAGGAATATAATGCAGGGTAAAATCAAAGGTAGAAGAAGCGTAGGAAGACGTAAAATCTCGTGGCTACGCAATCTCCGTGAGTAGTTTGGATGCAGTTCAATTGAACTATTCAGGCGAGTAACCAATAAAATTATAATTGCCAGAATGATTTCCAATCTCCGATAGGAGTGGAACTTGAAGAAGAAGAAGTGTTACCCTGTCTGACTCCTCGCCGTATCTTAATAGGGTCCGTTTGATCAACCATTTTAATGGATATTGTTGCTTGATAATATATATTACCAATTAAGTTCGTATATCTATAGTCTATTCTCCCATTTTGTAAAAAGTTCTTTACTGCTCAATGTTCCACCTTATCGAATGCTTTTTGAAATTCTAAAAAAGCCATATACATTGGGATTTGATATTCGTTAGCATTTTCAATTAATATTTTTATCGTAAGAAGAAGGTCGCTTGTACTGACTCCTTTTCCAAAACAGACTTGCTCTCTTGACTGGTAATTATCTAACTTAGTTGTTATTCTGTTTGTTAGTAGTCTAGTTAACAGTTTGTATATTACATTAAGTAATGTTATGGCCTATAGTTTTTCAGATATTTTCTATCGCCTTTCTTAAACAGTAATATTGTTATTAAAGTGTTATTAAGAAAAAGGAAAAAAGAAGATAGAAGAAAGAAGAAAGAAGAAGAAAGAAGAAAAAAAGAAACAGTACCAAAAAGCGCGAATACAGCAACTCGAGGAGAAACATAGAACCGGCAGTCTAGACAGTTTACTAGGGACCTAAAAACAATGAAGGGCAACACGACCAACAGCCCAAGATTTATAAAAGATGATACAGGACAATTACTTACCGACGACGAGGAGATAAGCCGTCAATGGAGAAAGCATTTTAAACAACTTTTAAATACAGAAACTCCACAACAGGGCAACACAGACAATACCAGTTAGCCGAACCTGAAATAGTAGAGCCCACACTAGCTGAAGTAAATTCCGCAATTTCGTTTCTAAAAATTTAAAGCCCAAACCGACGAATACAGGCGGAACTACTAATAAAAGGGGGAGAAAAGTTACATCTTGAGATATACCATCTTATAAAAGAAGTCTGGGAAAGAGAAGAAATACCGAAACACTGGCATGAAAGTCATATAATACCATGATGTATAAATAAAGATATTTTTTTACTCCATGTAATACCTAGCCACAAGAAGGGACAAACAAATATGTCGCAATTATAGAGAATATCGTTAGTCAATACAACATACAAAATTTTATCCACAATATTATTTAAAAGACTAACTCCATACGTAGAGGAAATAATAGGTGACTATCAAAGTGGCATTGGAGGCAATGGAGGCATTTGAGATGTAGGCGTACCGAAGAATGTTAAAAATCTCCTGGAAGGATAAGATAACTAACCAAGTTGTATTAGACAGGATGAACAAACAAAAAGGGGTCGTATTGAGTGTTAAAATGAGAAAACTAACAATACCTGGGACATAACACGTTAGAATAAATATCAAGTGTTACAACTAATTATGCAAGGAAAGATTGAAGGTAGGCGCAGCATAGGTAGAAGAAGAATGTCATGGTTGAGAAACCTCAGAAAGTGTTTGATTGCACTTCCATACAATTGTTCCGAGCGGCAGCCTCCAGGGTCAAAATTGCCATGATGATAGCCAACCTTCGTAGCGGAGATGGCACGTGAAGAAGAATAGATCAAGTGGATCCAGACCGGGAAGGTCGACCATAAACCAGATCTTCGTTCTACGCCAAGTGTTGGAAACAAACTGGGAATTCAATCGCGACGTACACCAAATATTCGTGGACTTTAAACAAACCTACGATTCTGTTAGCAGAGAGGCATTGTGGAAGACCATGGTAGAATTGGGAGTACCTGGAAAGCTGGTACGATTAGCACAGGTGAGCACGGAGAACGCTTCCGCACGGATCAGAATTGGCAACACCACGTCGGAGGAATTCCACATTGACACCGGCTTAGACAAGGAGATCCTCTCGCTCCCCTGCTGTTTAACTTCGCACTGGAACATGCAGTAAGGAAAGCTCAGCCACAATTGACAAACGGATTTGCCGCACGAGGATCAAAAATACTATTGGCTTTTGCAGATGACGTGGACACAATAGCACAATCCACCAGAGCTGCAAAAGAAGTTTTCGCCCTATTCGAGACCGGAGCCAAGGAAATTGGTCTTAAGGTAAACGAGGATAAGACCAAGTTCATGGTAGTTACGAAGAACCCAAGACCAAGGGTTAGGCAAAACATAACAATTAACGAATATAACTTTAAGGTCGTCAAAGAGTTTAAGTATCTGGGAGCTATCATAACATCTGAAAACAAATACGAAAATGACGTGCAGCCAGGATAATAGCAGAAAACAGGACATATTACTCTTCGTTGACCATTCTTAAATCAAAAATACTCTCAAGATCAGCAAAAATAAGAGTATACAAGACAATAATTCGACCCACAATAACGTGGGATGATAATGAATAGACTTATTGCCTTGTTCCATGTGGTAGGTATTTGTTTTGTGTTCAATATTTTATTCATTAGTACTACAGAACTTCCACTGTAGTGTTCCCTCCATTTATTTGTATTTCCACGGTTATTTCATCTTTCATAGGAGATTTGTTATTCTTTATTTCTTTGAGTGCCTTTTTGATTTCATTTTTACTGATTTCTGGTTGTAGGTTAGAGTTAACGTTCTTTATTTTCAGTTGTAACTGATTAAGGATTTCTTGGGTTGTTTTTTTCTGTTTTATAGAGATTTATATAATATTTGTCCGTTATCTGTAAAATTTCTTTTATATTGTTGGTCTCCATTCCTTCTTTGTTCTTTATGCTCTTAATTTGTATGTTTTCCAAATTCTGCTTTAAGCACTTCATGTGTTTTAATTTTTTTTCAACTGTTTTCTTTATCTTTTCTTCCTGTACTCTCCATTTACACTCCTTAATATTTTTTCTAATAGTTTTGTTTATTTCTTTGTATGCCATTTTATGTCTATCCCGTCATTCTAGTAATGTTCTTTTTGGTTCATAAGAATCTTTGTTTCCTGGCATATGAAACTTTCTTTATTTGTTGTTGTTTGTGCTATTTCTTTACCCACTTTCATTAGAGTTTCAGTAAATATCATGTTTATGTCATCGATATGTTTGTGTTCTATACCTTCCTTGGTCGACAATATTTCCTTTATTCTCTCTTCGTACATCTGTTTTTCTTGTGTCTAATTTCTGATTATTTTTCCTTTTTTTTTTTGTTTCAAATCTACTATCAATGATCGGGTTGACTCGGACTAGTCTATGGTCGCTACCAGTTGAGAAACGATTTAGGGCTGTTACGTTTTTAACCATGGATTTTTGCGTTGAAAGAATAAATATAATCAATTTCGTTTTTGGTTTCACTATTGGGACTAATCCATGTCCATTTTTTGGGGGTTTTATCTTAAAGAATGTATTCATTGCATATAGTTGCTTCTCCTAGAAGTAATTCATCAATGTGTGTCCTCTATCATTTCTTTTGCCGTATCCATGGTGTCCTACTTTGTCTTCTTCTTTATATAGTTGTTCTATTTTGGCATTGAAGTCCCCGAATATTAGCGTTAATTTTGATTTCTTTTGCTTCATAGCTGTTGTTATTTCGTAGAAATGTTCAATATCTTCATCGCTGTAGGTACTTGTTGAAGCATACACCTGTATGATTTTTATATTATATGTATTTAACTACTTTTTTGTTAATTATAAATCCTACTCCATTGTTGGTGTTTTCTTCATTAGCTTTATAGTATAGCAAATTTCCTGAATAAAGCTGTATTTTTTGTTTCTCCTTTTCTTCTTACTTCGGATATGCCGATAATATCCCACTGTATTTTAGTCAGTCTTCCTCTAGTTCGTGGATTTTAGTGTCTTCGTTCATGGATCTGATGTTATACGTTTCTACATTTATTTTTTTTTAATATTTGCCTTTCCCAGAGTCCTTGAGGCGAACAGATTTCCCGGTGTGGGATTCCGAGTTAGTAACTCTACCCACCTGGGTCCTATTCCGTTTGTTTCATAATATGACATGTTTCCTGAAGAGGGTTTTTTGGCATTAAAACACCTCGCTTGCCAGACGGGCTTGTGAGTTCTGCATCCGCCGCCCACTCTGGGTCAGACGCTGTTCGTAGCCGTCCACTCTGGATCGGACACTACTGTTTTGCTAGTTTTGGTTCACGCCGGGTATTTCATTTTCCCGGTACCACCCATATCTGGGAGGCATTCCCTATTCGCCACCCAGGGACGCGCCCAATGGGGGACTATACCCCACATGGGTATAGTCCCCATTGCACTGAACTACATCCGCCATAGTTTAGTCCTCTAAGTATGGTTATGGGAATTATTGCAATAAAAACTACTAAAGGATTAAGTAAATATATTACTCTTGTTCATACTATACACATTGTTGAGGTAAATATATAAATAATGCTCATATTATACATATTGATTCTTAATAAAATCAGACGCCATTTCCGCCACTAACATAATGGGGGCATTAGGATGACCTGCTAGTGTAAAAGGAAAAACACTTCCATCTACAACTCTTAACCCCTTAACACCATGAACTCGACATTCTGAATCTACGACATCTCCACCATGAGGATTTGGACCCATGGGCGTAGTTCCTACAGGATGATAAAGGTTCATAGTCATCTGTCGAATTGCGCAGAACCAGTAGCCCCTAGATTGGTACGAGTATTGATTACAGGCTCTTAATGGTCCTCCTTGTAATTTTGTATTAATAAGACGCATGGCGTTAGTTTCCTTTAACTTTAAAAAAATGAGTATACCTTCATATAGTCGTCTTATGTCTCTGTTGTACGGATCTGATAAAAATCGGTTATCGATTAGTGGATAATCGAAAGGATCATTACTTCTCAAACGGACAGTACCGATGGAATCAGAATGCAGTGCTGTTACATAAGCTACATAAGACTTAGCTGGATCGGTATACTTCCAAACGTCTTCGTAGGTCTCGTTAGTCAACCTGAAAGCTCTCTGGGATAGGTTGGTTGTAGCATTTGATGGTATAAACATTATTTCTATATCCGGATAACCAGTACCTAAAATAATAGAAATATGATTTTATTAATAATACATGTTAGAATAAGCTCCTAAACAAATGTAATATTAAAGATTTAAAAACAAAAAAATTTGTTTCTTAGTTTATGTTACTTCTGGTCAACTGTTAGATGTAAGCACATGCTTTATTTATATTCTCAGGCTTCTTATTGAATAAACTTTTTACTAATCGTTCGTCAGGCTATTTAATTTATCAGGTTATGTGCCCTTCTTCTTCTAAATGTGCATATATTCTAAAGATGTTTAACCCTCAACTGGTGAGGTGCATAATATGTTGCGTACTTGGTGACGTGGTGCCTTAGCGGACCTCATTTTTAAAATAATGTTTATTGAATTATTTTTTATAAATTGAATAATTGATTACATATTGTGTATTTACATACTACTTTTAAGCAAAAATTTTAACCGTTTAACTTCAAAAATTAAAAAATGAAAGTACATTCTTATAAAAAAAGTTAAAAACAATTCTACAAAATAATATTTGCTAAGAAATGACACTTGATTTATTGGACCAAATTTATTGTTCACAACAATCCTGGCATATTTTTTCTGTACATTGCGCACATATTGGCGTAAGGTAAGTTGGGGCAAGATCGCACGGAATTTAGATTAGTCAAAATTTACCTGACAATACAACAATAAGATAAGTTTAAAAAACGATCAAAATGTGCATGGCTTAACTTTAACTCATAAGCAAAGAGTTTGCAGGATAAAACTCAATATTTGTTAATAAGAAAGTTTATAAAAAAAATGAAATAAAAAAATGCAGTCGTTCGAATTTGCCCCCGCGTATGGGTAAGGTCGGACAACTTGTAAAATTATAATATAAGTATTTCAAGAACACCTACGGGTAACATCGAATTCCGAACAAGCCCCTGGTAAATTTCTTACTATTTAAACCATAAATTTATACATGTCTAATTTTTCTCTGCATTCGATCTTACCCCGTATATCAATAAAATCAACGTAAAACTAGAACAGAATTAACATTTTTATTAGAAAAATTTACAAAATAAAAATCTTAAGCAATATTTAGTCCATTAAATTCAACGGCGAATTGCAGATAATTTTTTTCATCCTGTAAAGGATTCGGTAAGAACATTTCTATGTTTTCATAGATTATAGTGTCAATATTGTTAGTTTTAGGCCAATCAAATTTTTTGACTTTCTCAATAAATCTTAAAAACTTTACAACACATTCGCGATGAACTTTGTCTATTTCTATTATTTTACCAACATAATATTTTATGGTTTTCTTGCTGCAGTATTTAACTAATATCCAAGCGTTTTTTTCTAGGTTTTCGAACGTTTTCATCTGCCTGTTCCTCATCAAGGAAATTTGAATCCTTATCAAATTCTTCATACATTAGTTCAATGTCACTTTCGCTGCTAGAACTTTCTGAGATTCGAGACTTTTGTTTTTTTGGCGTGTTAGTGTGTGATGGGCACTTACTGGTAGATTCCAATAATTGAGCTGCATCTTTGTGCGTGATGACTTCAGACCTGTTGCAACACGTCTTTTTTTGACGACTTTAGCACTTACGGAGCTCTGTTTCACAGTGTCAAGTAGAAGGTCTTCAAATGAAACATTTGTTAGTCCAGACTGACCCTCAAATGTTTCTCTGTTAGTCGTGTTTGTAGGTGAAGCATTACTTGGTCCTGCATCTAATATGTCCCTAGTTTCATTATTACCATTTGCTACGTCCAGTTACCACTGTTGCGACTTGCTTCATATTTTCAAATCGTTTTAATGCTTCGGGTGGTATTTTTCTTTTGGAATAACTGATGGATTGAAGGGATATATTCCACTTTTCTTAAATCCATTCTGTATTACAACTGAACTAATATTATTCCATATTTTGCGCACCTTTTCGGAAAATACTTTTTTTGGCAATTTAACGCCCTGATTCTTTCTTTGCCAACTGACTAGTTCTTCATCCCAAGATGTTTTCTTCTTCTTCTAGTTCCATGACCGTTATCGATCGTTGGATATCATGTTGGCTACCATATTCGCTATCGTGACTTTATTGACAGCAGCTCTAAATAACGATGTAGTTGATTTTCCATACCATTGCCTTAGATTTTTCAGCCATGATGTTCTTCTTCTACCAGGACCACGATTACCTTGGATCTTTCCCTGAATGATCAGATGTAAAAGATCATATTTTTCAGGGTGTCTCATAATATGACCGAAGTATTCCAGCTTACGTTTCCTTATTATATTGACCAGTTGTGTTGTTTGGTTCAGCCGTCTAAGGACCTCCTCATTTCTAACTCTGTCGACCCAGCTTATTTTCAGTAGTCGTCTGTATACCCACATCTCAAAGGCTGTCAAGCGTTTAAGCATAGCCTCAGTTAGGGTCCACGCTTCTACTCCATACAGCAGGACAGGAAAGATGTAGCAAGATATCATACGAACTCTAAGGTCAATGCTAAGATCATGACTGCAAAGTACGTTTCTCATTTTTACAAAGGCAGCTCGGGCTTGTTCTATTCGGCTTTTAATTTCTGCGGTTGGATCCCAGCTCTCATTGATATTACTGCCGAGATACACGAGTTTCTCTACTCTGTCCAGTGTGGCATCTCCGACTTTTATACCGTCATCATGTATATAATTTTGTTTGCTAACTATCATATATTTAGTTTTCTTAACGTTGAGTTTTAGTCCATACTGATCACAAGTCTGTTTTATTTTGTTCATTAGATTTTGAAGGTCTTCTCCGCAATTGGCAAGGACTAAGGTATCGTCGGCATATCTAATATTGTTGACGGTTACTCCATTCACAATAATACCTTCGGTTGTCTCCATTAAGGCTTCCTTAAATATTTCCTCCGAATATAAGTTAAAAAGTAAAGGCGACAATATACAGCCTTGTCTCACTCCTCTTTTTATATTTATTTCATCCGACAGTTCTTGTTCAACCTTTATTCTTGCCACTTGATGCCAGTATAGATTTGTAATTATTCGTAGATCTTTATCGTCCAATCCAGCTGTTTCCAATATTTCTAGCATTTTGTTATGTCGGACTTTGTCAAAAGCTTTTTCAAAATCGATTGCACAAATATACACATTTTGATTTATATCTCTGCATCTCTGTACTAGCACCTGTATACTAAACAAGGCTTCTCTTGTACCCAAGCCACTCCTAAACCCAAATTGAGTATTGCTAATTCTGTCCTCTAACAGCGTATAAATTCTGCTGTGTATTACTCGCAGAAAGATTTTCAAAACGTGACTCATCAGACTTATTGTCCGATAATCACCGCATGTCTTTGGACGATGTTTCTTAGGTATTGTGACAAATGTCGACTTTAACCAATCAGTTGGTAATATGCCAGTGTCATAAATTCTGTTAAAGACATTACACAGAGCTTTAATTCCATTTTCTCCCAAAAACTTTAGTATTTCAGCACTTACATCATCGGGGCCAAGTGCTTTTCCATTTTTTGCCGTTTGTATTGAACGTCTTACCTCACTTTCTGTTATAGATGGACCTAATATAGCAATCGGTGTATAGTGTTCTACTCTCTCATCTTCAAATAATTCAGAAATGTAGTTTTCCCATTCTTGGGAAAACTACATTTTTGGAAAACCAGACAAGATATTTTAAGTGACCTAAACACAGCAAGATCGAGGGCTGCAATAAGTGAGAGGTATGTGGCGGAAGCTTTAAGATAGTTATGTCATTTTCTTGTGCAAGAGTTACTACTCTATTATCTACATGCGTACTGTGCCCATCGTATATAAGCAAGACCGGTCGTTGATCACCCAGAACAGGCATTAACGTTTTCTTAATAAAGTTGACAAAAATATCAGTCTCCATCCAACCATTGCTACTAGCAGCGTATGCTAAATCTGTTTCGCCGTCTGGATCTGCCATCCACTGGTCCCATACATTCTTGCCCTTGAACACAATTAAAGGGGCGCTTTTTCACCAGCAGCATTTACAGCGGACAAAATTGTTACGTTCTCTCTTCCGGACCACTGGTTACACGGAACAAGCTGCACCTCTAGCAACAACTACCTTTGTCTGACATAGGTCGATTGACAGACTCGTTTCGTCTAAATTCCATATTTGGTGTGGAAGATTGTTTAATTTTAAGTAATCTAAAACTCTTTTCAATAGGTCAAAATAATCGTTGACCACAAAAGGATCAGTCATTTTTTTTCTTGAATACTCCACCGCTTGGGGCTTTTTAATTGAAAGTTTATGTCGTTGCTTAAAATTAATAAACCAGTCGGCACCTGGCATATTATTTTTTAAAAGGAGTCTTAATATTATTTCTTGTTACGTACTCAGCTACAATAAATAATAATTCCTTTCTGGAAAGGCCAAACCCCCATTTCTCAAGAGTTTTAATACCATTTGCCAAAGTCTCTTCATGCTCTAAGGAAATTGCCAAGCTCCTTCTCAGCGTTTTACATTTTGACCCATGGGTTCCTTTAGCATGATCATGAAGCGTCGATTTTGGGTTGTTATATTTTTTTGCTGCCCCGTGAAGGGTTATTGATCCTCTTTCCAATTCACTAATGGCACTCGCAAGGTCTTCCTTGGTGTATTTGCTGCACCTGTCGGATTTTCTTATATATTTTTGGACCATCTTCAAAACTGTAATAAAAATTACTTCTTTATAGGCTTTGGGGTAAGGTCGGAAAAATTCGAGTCGATCTTGCCCCGTACATCTACATATGGGAAAAGATCGAACCAACTCATAATAACACACCCAATTGAGGTTATGATTGACTAGTTCAAAGAGTTTATAAAGATGAAACATTTACAACACAGATTACCTATATAATGTTCTCACTTACCTTTTGAAGCAATGTTTGATGAATGGGGTAAGTTCGAATGCACAAAATAAACAAAAAAACACAAAATTGCAAATATTTCAGACGAAAACCCTAGAAGCAAACCGCCGTTTGTTTATGCAGTGCATATCTTTACTTGCTCCACGAGGCGAGTGTTTACGGCGCTGTTGC